CTGATGAGCGTTACTAATATATGCTGATGAGAGAACCTGAACGTGAAAGACCTTCTTGCTTTATTTACACTTCAGTAAATCAGAAAGCACACCAAGACTTATTTTCACATACAAGAGTAACAGACTTGACCACAAGGGACATTTAAGGAAGTTAACCCACAGCCCAGGGAGTAGGTTTACTGTAAACCGGCTGCAAGCTGATGTTGCTGGACTTGTTTTCACTGGAGATGATAGAAACTTGGAGCAGCTGTTTGAACTTCAGTGGACTAGCACCAGTCACTAAATAAAACAGTGGTCTGGCCCATTATCTGAATCATTACAAGTCACCATTCAGAGGTAAATTAGTCCCCAGGCAGTCCTCAGTGACATTTATCTCTAGACCAAGAACTAGGTAGATGCAGTCAAGAGCTGGGATGAAGAAAGAATAAACCATTTTTACCATCTTGCATAAAGATATATATTTGGTACAACATTCTTTACAGAAGCAGACCTTCTCAAAGAGAAAGCAAGGAAGGCATTGGGTTATTTGGGAGAAGGTGAAAAGAGTGCCAGGAACTTTTTAAGCTGCTCTGTAGTAGAAGAAAGTACAAGAAAGTAATTAAAGATTTTACTCTTGAGCCTATCGATGTCAAACAAATTCCAAGGTTAATAAAATTTAGCCAAAAATTAATATGTAAATTGTACAAGCACTGAAAATTTCTGCTGGTCCATTTTGGCCAGAAGAGAAATAGCAGGAAGGGGAACCCCATCCAAGACTGTGTCTCAGATACTTAGATGCCTTCTGAACTATCTCAGCTATATTTATGTTTGCAACACACCCCACAAAGAAATAACTTCTACTACTCCAGTTTAGAAAGAAGAAAAGTGGACTCAGTGACAGGCAGGTTTCATTGGTGCCCGTGAGAGCTGCTGACCTTAGCTTACTTACCTTTGGCCAGGTTGTGACAGAGAAAGTGCTTGGGGGCAGTTTCCTATCCCTTCCCTAGTTCCAGCAATTGGGCTGGTGTCTCAGATGGAACCTATCTGCCTGTGCAACACAAAGCACCACTCACTGGAAAATTGCAGGAGAGTCTATGAGTACTATAAGTAGAGCAAACTACTCAAAAATATTGTTAACCTCCCCCAACCTGGTCCCTACCCCCTCCCTCAATCATTATTTCAGGAGATATATTTTTGTAGAATTATTTCATTATCTAATGGCTGCCTGTTCTATCTCTGTGCAAGATTTCCATATATGTTACTCCTCCACTGACATTTTCTCACACATACACATGCACGGATCAGCAATTGCTCCACTACATTCTCAGAGAATAAAAGAGCCATAAATCTCAAGAAAATAGAGTATGCCAAACAATTCAGCATCTGAAGTTACAGCTGTTCATTTCTCCTCTCTGTTCAGAAAGAGCCAGCCTTGGCTTATTGCAGATGTTTTTGAAGTAGACGGTGTTGCTCTAGATTGACTTTGGATACACTCATGATGTGACCCACTGGAGCACTGGAACTTTGTTTCCCCACAGAGAAAAATACAGCCATTGGCATTCAAGTAGAACAGGAAGGCTATTCTCCCCACACCAGAAAGCATCTCCTCTCAAGCACCCCTGTAAGCAACAACAGGAGAAGGAAGCAATAACTCCACCAAGGAGTGGGCTAATGTTCCTCCCATCTGCCAGTCCCACGCTCATTCTGTTTTCACTTGGACCACATCCTCCCAAGCCTTCTGCTTTATACCTCATTAAACTTGGGTGCTTCACACAACAAAAATGTCATCCATCTTTGCAAGGTTACTTTTAAGGCACATTTCCATGTCTTTTAACACCATTCTCTTCCTCAGCCCTGTCTTGAAAGCCTGAAAATTAATTCCCTATTTTTCACATTGAATCTGTCCCCTGAGTCTCAATCTACTTATTCATGACAGTAAAAGTTTATGCAAACATCTCCACCATGCAAAAACACTCCCCTCTTCATTCCTGTGGATTCATGTTAATATTCTCCACCTCCAGAGTCTCAAATACTCCCTGCATTGAGAGCTGCACATTCCCATGCTGAGGTGCAATCCGTCCTAACTCCCCCTGTGCAAGTAAGAGAGGAAAAGGGATGAGTGGTCATGGAGAAGTTATAATGCTGAGGCAAAAGCAGCTCCACAAAGTGTAAGGCCCTGCATGGCTCCAAAGGCTGAGCAAGTCTGAAGTGAGGAGCCACCAGAAGTGACAGCTTAGCTGAAGCAGGGACAAACAAATAAACCAGGTAAACTGAATTATTAAGAGTGGTCAAGCTGAAGTCTGGAGCCTAAAACTTTTACGGGGCATATTGATTCATCCTAATGAACTGACTCACCTGGAGCCAGTAGGGATGCCAGGCTTGGCAGCTGTGGGTAGAGGTTCTTGGCTTGAATCCAGCTACAAAAAGGACTTCACACCCGAGGAAGAAAGATAAAAATTAAAGGGCAGAAATTAATAAAGCTTAACAGTTTTGCTCAAGGAGCCTTCTAGAATTAAAAGAAGGGAGTAGAGTTTCTGCTCAAACGTTGTCAGCCCTGCTAGGAGAACACGGTACATTAGAACAAGGCTAATGAGCCAGGGAGGACGTGGGTGCAGGACACTGCAGTTGAAGAAGAACCTAAGAAACCCCAGCACAATGACAACAATAATGAATCATCACATCAATTTTTCCTATATCCACCTGCCTAACATTGCCTTTCCCAATGACAACACCAGCTCATCTGCAGGACTCATCCTCTTCCTTCCAGTCCCCAAATGCCGTTTCTCCACCAGTGCCAAAAAACTGTGTGAGGAGGAGGAATAAAGTCCTCTCTAACCACCTTCTGATACAATGTTATTCCTCCCCAGTGTTAGCCTCAGTCTCAGGTTAAGAAAAGAACATCCAATGTGACACAAACAAAAGTTTCCCCCAAAGAAGACAGGTTTAGTTTCTGCAATTCTTAGCAGCTCTGCAAAAAAATTTGAGTTTGTGAAAATACCCACCTAAAACATCAATAAATAGAACTGCCTCTCAGATAATTTCTGAAAAGAGGTGCTGGGCCAGCTCTGACCCTACTGCAGCTCTTCTGGTTCAGAAGTGATGCTGGTGGGGTGTTTGGCCCTCTGCAATCTGGGTATACACTCTATCATATTGGCTAGCCCCTGGTATGGAGGAGCAAAATCAAAGAAACACAAACAAATTAATGCAGAACTACAATATGAAGCTATTCATACCTATTTTCTACATACACTATTATTTTTAAGGGGATGCTGTCAGCTTGGTATTTTCAGACTCAAGGATCTAGAAAGAAATCTTACCTCTCAGGCAGTCTAAAGCTCTGCTACAGAGTTTTTCTTTAAAGCTGTTACTTTGTAATTTCCTTGCCACACCCCTTGTTCTTTCCTTATCTTTCTCCCAGCCTTTCTTAATGGACACTGTTTTTGCAAATCTGTTTTAACAGATTCAGAGCAAGAGACAAGTACCCTTCATAAAGAAAAAGAACAGTTTTAGGCATTTTAAATGCATCTCTTGTGCAAAAAGAGCATGAGTTAACCAGGTAATTTCAGAGTGAAAACTCAGAAAGTACACCTATAGCTGATACAACTCTAAAGTTGATTCACTTTTCCTAATAACAACTCTTGTATGAACAATAGTTTCCAGGTAAGACGTACATAAACATTTCCAGATGGAAAATAGCATCCCTTTAAGCCCACTGAAAAATCCGAACTTAGATAATTTAAGCTACCTGAAGAGTTGGTGGCTTAGATTTTCCTATTTCCGTGGCATTACTGGAGATCAGTGCCAGCTGACAGTGCTGAAGGGCTGCAGCTCCCTGTGCTGGGAAAAAGCCTCACGCCGGGGTCAGGGCTCCCCTGTGCGCTTTGCTCCTCTAAGAAAAGCCCTGTCTCTGTGAAGTCCCAGTTTGATGCACGACGTGACCAGCTCGACAGGGAGGGTCACTGGAGCAGAGGAGTGCAGGATGCTTGAGACTGATCCACACTTAACTTGCTCCTCAGCTTGCAGCCAGCGTGGCTCTTAGTTTCTCTGTCTAAGAAGTAGGGCTTTATGCGTTGTTTCTACAGCTCTTGAGCCATTGATTAAAGTAAACAAACAAACAAAAAACCTACAAGTTTTCTTTCTGATCCCCAGCAATCACAGTCACAAGGTCTGAAAAATCCTTGTCCTATCTGTGGTTCAGTTTGTTTTCTTAATGAAGAAAGTAAAAGTAAAGTAAAACCGGGAATAAAAAAAAAAAAAAAAAAAAAAAAAAAAAAAAAAAAAAAAAAAAAAAAAAAAAAAAAAGAGAAAAATCCCCCAAAAATTGGGAAATTGGGGGAAAAATCCCCAAAAAATTGGAAGAAAAACGGGAAAAAAATCCAGGAAAAATCCGGGGAAAATTCCTTAAAAATTATAAAGCAAAAAACTCCCCTCCAAAAATTAAAACAACCAGAAAATTTGGGGAAAATTGGGAAGAATTTGGGAAAAATCCCAGAAAAAGAATTAAAAATTCCAGAAGAAAAAAAATTCCACAAAAATCCAGTAAAAAAAAAAAAAA